GTTGTCCTAAGTCAAGTATTTGTGTTTATGTTATTTACAGAGTGTTGTCCTCTGTCATATATTTGTGTTTATGTTATTTACAGAGTGTTGTCCTCTGTCAAGTATGTGTGTTTACGTTATTTACAGAGTGTTGTCCTATGTCAAGTATTTGTGTTTATGTTATTTACAGAGTGTTGTCCTCTGTCAAGTATTTGTGTTTGTGTTAGTTACAGAGTGTTGTCTGTCAAGTATTTGTGTTTATGTTATTTACAGTGTTGTCCTCTGTCAAGTATTTGTGTTTATGTTATTTACAGAGTGTTGTCTGTCAAGTATTTGTGTTGACGTTATTTACAGAGTGTTGTCTGTCAAGTATTTGTGTTGACGTTATTTACAGAGCATTGCTGTGTGTAAGTGTGGTTGACATTTATCTGTAAGGTAACATAAATAATCCATGACCCTAACATTCTTTGGCACCTTTCCGTCTTTCCAGGCGATAGTGTTAGAGGAGGCATGATGTAGCACACCTCTCTACTTTGTTGATGTACGTACGTTGATGTCACACCCAGGTTCGTCTTTAGTTTTGCTACAGGAGGAGTCGATTGGAAGATTATAGACGAGGAGAAAGATGGTCATGTCGATAGTTGTGATGATGATGATGTCTTGCTTGCTGCATGCATCTTACGTGACTCTGATGTTTGTATAATTAAAATATGGCTGGAAACAACTGTTCTTGTCTATACTTCCTTTATTGTAATATCTCAGCAATGTCACAAATAACATCAATGAAATTATGAATAGCGCTGTGTTCTCTCTATGGCTACATAATCGTAGGTTCGCGTTGTGTTCTTCATCTCTAGTGACTTTGTTTCTAGTGTCTGTAACTGCCACCTGGCCTCTAGTGCTGTCTGGTACTAACGGATTGATCGTCGACTCTAACATCTTACAGTGTTTCTACCTAATGTGTCTCTGTTAACCATGAATCCAGGTATCTTGTGTGTTGTCTCTGTAGTTCGATATCTTGTTTCATGTCTGCTCTGCCTTCGAGGCTAAATATGACTGGCTCCTCTCCCTCTAGGGTTGAGTTGGTATGTCCAAAACTGAGAGGATCATTGAGACTAGTTGCTTGTCCTCTGAGTATCAACGACTGAAGGTATTCTTTGAGTTAAGCTGACATTTCTACGACTGAAGACTGCTTTGAGAGTCCATGTGACTGGTCTCTCCTCTCTTGAGTCTTGTGGACTGAAGAATTTCTAAGGTGCTTTGATACTCGTTATTTATACTTGAATGTCGGGTTGCTAGGTATTTGTTTTCTTTCCGCTCTTTCTGCTTCTATAATATTCTAGTACGTCTCAACTTGTTTACTAGGTAGTACTAGAATTTTATAAAAATATCTTGATTGCATCGGATTTCATCATCCTATTCTACGCAAATATGGTGAAACTATGGGGGTGACTGCAGTCAATCTAATACAATGAATTCCAGAGAAATTTGACTAAAAAGCTCAACAAAATGGGAAAGAGGAAAACGTGCAGAAAACAACACAACGTAACGTTTCGGCCAGGCAGCCTTTTTCAAACACAAGGGAAATACACAAACGAGGAATGGAGAGTATGTAGATCTCTAAGGGGTGACGTGAGCGACGTTTAAAAAATGTGATGCGGAATAAATGAAATAAAATAAAATAAACGATGACTAAAAATATAGTCACAATACTGGGAATAAAAGAAATGCAAGTGTTAATAATACATAAATGATATTGATAAGAAATAGAATATGGTAATAATATGAAATAAAATAAAATAATTAACATTTAAAATGTGATAAGATTAGAACTATTTAGATGAAGGTATGTTGGATATTGATACCTCTTGGATCAAGAACGCCAAGGCTGTGGATAAGGCGATTTTCCAAAGCGAGGCGGGTAGTATGGTCGACAGAGCAAGATTTTAATGCTGTGACAGATATGTCATCTTTACCGCTGTGATCAGGGCTATTAAAATGAAGAGGGATTGGTTTGAGTGTCTTCTTGTCGATATCAGAAAGGTGTTCCCGGAAACGATCAGCTAGCTTCCTGCCAGTCTCCCCAATGTATGCCTTGCTGCATCGTTTGCAGATAATTGCATAAATTACGTTGCGGGATTCGCAAGTAAAAGGTTCCCTAATTTGAAAAGAACCATTAGGGAAACTGACCGAAGAAGTCTGGACAACGAAAGGACATGTTTTGCAGGTGCTGCGTGAGCACTGAGTAGTCCCAAGAGGAAGTGCTGTATGGATCGGTGGGAGTCGGCTTCGGACAAAAAGAGTCCATGTGACTGGTTCGCAACCTTAAAGACATACTTGTTTCCGGGGGGGGGGGAGGGGGCGGGGTAGACTTCCGCTAATATACACAGGATATAATTAAAATTTACTGGCTATGATAGCATAAAGAGCTGAAGAACTATCTAGAGGCAGGAAGACGTTCGAGTATACTGTGACGACAAAGATGTTTTGCAGAGACTTTATGATTGATGCCGACAGAAAAGACAAAGCTGTTTGTTATTATAGGTTTTTAAAAAATTAGTGGATATTACAATGATAATTCTTACCTATTATACAATTTGGAAAGAAGGCCTACAACTAAAACTGCTACAGGCAGGAGTTGTGCACAACATGTACAAGTGGATCAAAGACTTTCTTTTCCAACGCAGAGCCAGATTCAGAATTGATGGACACATCGGCAAACTGGCAAAACTAAGAGAAGGATTTCCCCAGGGCAGTGCGATAGCACCAATTCTGTTCATGGTTTACATAAATGATATCACAGCAACCTGCCACCAGCACGTTTATAATACCCTACATGCTGATGACTTTGCAGTTTGGACAGCCTCCGAATACACTACCACAGCCTCATATCTGTTACAGAAAACTGTGGAAAATGTAGAAGCCTGGACCGAAAAGTGGGGTCTAAAGCTAAATAATTAAAAAAGCACAGCATCACTTTTCTCTCTCTCTCACAAAAAAAGAAAAAATCAAAATTTGGATTTAAAAAACCAGCTCATTCCACAGACTGACACTCCCACCTTTCTTGGCGTTACACTTGATTCGCGACTAACTTGGAAGTCACACGTAGAAGCAGTACAGGGGAAAGCATTCAAGAAGCTTGCAGTGATGAAAAAAATTAGCGGGTACCACATGGGGCGCCAACTCCAGAATCCTAAAACAAATATATACTGGAGCAGTCAGGCCAGTCATGGAATATGCCTCCACTGCATGGGCTGCAGCAGCCAAGACAACAATGGGAAAACTGGACAAGGTTCAGAATATGGGATTAAGGATTGTTCTCGGAGCCATGAAAACCACCCCCATCAGAGAGATAGAGAGGATAGCAGATACTGAACAACTCGAACTCAGAAGACAATACAAAACTCTTTTACAGTATGAGAAATTAAACAGACTTGAAAGTCATCCACTGCATTTTAAATTTCAAGAGAGAACAAAAAACAGACTGAAGCGTCAGAGCCCCAACCACCTTGCTAGAGAACTGTACAGACAGCACCAAGATCTGCTTGAAAGAGATGTTGCACTGTGCGAAAAACTTAGGCCAGAACCATGGACAAGCAAGCCAGAGAAGGCAAACGTAGTCCTAAAGGTACCAGGGATCACTTCAAAAGATGCCCAGACGGAGACACAACAGAAAACCCTGGCTCTTGCTATCCTTGATGAGAAGTATCCCAACACCACTTGGACCCAGGTTTTCACAGACAGCTCTGCTACAGATGCAGTCAGAAAGGGAGGTTGTGGAATATACATTAAACCCCCTAGCAGTAGAGCAGAAACTCTCTCTCTCTACCAGCAGGAGACATCTGCACTAACTTCAGAGCTGAGGCAACTGCTCTCCTTTCTGCAGTCCAAAATCTCATCAATCAAGAACACAGAGTGCACAAAATTGTTATACTTAGTGACACATTGTCTGTTCTCAAAGCACTATCAAGCAAAAAACAAGACAAACTAATTGCAGATCTAAGGACCAACATTGGCTTACTCTCCAAGTAAGCAGAACTGATCTTGCAGTGTATACCAGCCCACTGTGGTATTCAAGGAAATGAGAGAGCAGATGAGTTGGCAAAAGCTGGGAGTAATCTTCCACAACCTCATCCACCACACAGCTACAAGGAAACAAAAACAGCGCTAAAGCAGTCTTTCAAGCGAAAGTGGCGAAAGCAGAAATGAGATTACAGACCAGAGAGTGACAGCATAAACAAACTCAACAGGAAAGAACAAACAACAATTTTTAGACTTCGGACTGGACACTGTGGTCTTCGAGCACACCTGTACAGGATAGGCATAAAAGAATCTGCTGCCTGTGATTGTGGAGCAGAACGACAGACCCCTGGGCACATCCTACAGTACTGCCCTAACCTCTCCCTGCAAAGACTGTGGATCTGGCCCAAGGGAGCCATATTGAAAGAGAAGCTATTGGGGACCGGTGGCGACCTTAAACGCACAATCCTATTTGTGACCCAGACGGGACTCAATGTCTAGCCACGGCTATCTTTAGCTATAAATCCAGTTGGCGGTGGTCTAGCATGACTGATGTCGAACGCAGAAGAATTACCTATTATATAGAGCCATTTTTAAAATACGGATATGACCCTTGTACAAACCCTCCCAAACACGCTTCACAGATTTGTGTTACTTAAGTTAATGCCAACTGGTAATTATACTTAAAATAAAACAAAAAAACATTGTTAATTTCAAAAAGTAGCTAATTTCCACCTGTTTCAAATTTGTTGAAATTTGTATGTTTTAACAGAAAAATTATATTTGTTTCACGGAACATACCAATTGAATTTTTATGTCATAAACAGATGAAGTGTTCCTTTAGATGGACGTGTGTTCGCTGACCTGGCATGTTGTCGGTGTTGGTGTGTCGTCTGCAGTCTGCAGTGATTGCTAATATTTGTTTCATGTTTACAGTTTATCTTCTTCTAGGCGGCGAAAGAATATCTCAGACACTGGCTTAACAGCTCTAGTCTCTTAAAATGGCTGGTTCTGCTTTGAAGAGATTAATGGCAGAATATAAACGTAAGCATAAAACAGAAGTTTTCTTGGTACTTGTTTTGCTACGTTGTTTTGTTTTGGATTCTCCTTTTTCGCGTTAGTTTCGGCTGTAAACTCCGGCGGAAAGTTCAGGTTGTTCGTGTACTTCTGGACTTTGATCTTGTTCCAGAACATGAGTTTTGCGTGAACATCCGTTTTACAGGTCATCTTTATTGAATACAGCAGACTATTTGTTCCTCGCCTGTGTTGGTCCACTCCTACTTAAAAGGAATCAACCTAATTAATCGACACGTCATGTTTGTTAATAAGTTAATGGGTCTAATGGGTGGTTACTGAACCACAGGAAAATTGTATGATGAAATTTGTCTCTTTTTTTTCTGTCAAAATTATCTCCGTGCTTTGGTTTATGTTTTCGATTATGAATAAATAATTTGTATCTGTTTTCAAATGTAAGAGTGGTATAATGTAGTGATTAATTTAGGCATATAGGCTCTCCTTTGAATCAACCCCCAAAATGACGGCTTTAATATAATGTCGTTCGAAAGAGAGCTAAATTGACAAATTTCTTGCCATAAAATATCCAAAAATATCTTAATGCGGGTCTATTAAAAATATATGTGCCGGCTCCGGATAACGAAACAAATGTTCTGACAGCATCTCAGCGATACGTTACTTGCCGACCTCCTTCTGCGAGTGTGCCTTACCGCCGAGTGTATCCCCCGCGCCTCTATGCCACAGTAGCGATTAGGGCACGTTAGGGCATTACCTGGTGCCTATGTATTTTCCTCAAGAAAAAAAGGTTCTAGTACTAACCACAAAATGCCTATTATAGTTTAAAGTTAGTTGTGTATCCTTTACAGGATGTTGCAGAACCAACCCCAGCATTTTTTGGCTGATGTGGTATTTCCAGGCAAATTTCAGTCCAATAGTTTGTCATTGCTTTTTGGACGGTCCGCTTTTCGATACAACTGTTGAAACCAACACAAGACCCGCAGCTGGGATTGACGCAGCCGATGCCTATTATAGTAGCGCTAAAAAAATATTGCTTAAAAAAGGGGAGTCCAGTACCATGTACCATTGCATACCACCTGAAAAAACCCTGCTTGGTACCCATTTTAGGCTTTGTTGACCTAAAAGCCAAGTTCATTTTTGCACTCCCCAAAAAATCTTACTCAATACAGATTTGAACGCTAGACCTTTGTTTTGGAGTGTGACCATCTAGCCACTACACTAACATGGCTTCCAAAATAATTCTTAAGCATTATATGTATCCATTTGCCCAACCACCGCCACCTTTTATTCCCCCTCTTGGATTAAGTACTAAACAGTTAATTAATATTACTGGAGTCCTTCGTTAAGACAGCATAAATGTCAGTAAGAGGTAGTCATTACTTTTTTAAGCAACATTTTGAGAAGAAAGAGAAAAGCTGTTCAGCAGATTGATAACTGCTTGGGATGTCATGCAGAGTAGGATCTTACCAAGAGGGTGGCCTCTGCCCATGATGTCCTTCAGTGAGGTGCAGAAAGACCTAGTCAACATAAAGCTTGATACTGGCACATACGCACTTTAATAACAGACTTAACGAGCATATGCATGGGCTTGATCTAAGTAGTTCACTATTGTGCCCTTGTGAGCTGTGTGCGCAGAACATGTCCTGCAGGATTGTCCCTTGTACAGCCTACGAAGAAGAGAATACTGGCCCAGTGAGTCCACACTGCACTGAGTTGTATGGAACTAAAAGGGAACTCCTAAAAACAGTCAAGTTTATCACAAGAACTTGTCTGTCGGTGTAAATCAGAAAGTGAACACAAGAAGGAGAAGAAACACTTCAATTTCCCGTTCACACCATGGGACTGTTTTCTTCTTCTTCTCCTTCTTCGCGTTCACCAGCTGTACACTCTTGTGGAAAGTTCTGGTTGTTCGTCCACTTCTGAACTGCAGTCCTGCTCCAGAACCTGAGTGTTGCATGTGCATCAGTTTTACAGATCTGATTCACTTGAATGCAGACTGTTGGTTCCTTGCCTCTTAGGCAGATGTACTCCAACTTTGAAGGAAGCTCCCAATTAGTCGACTCCTACGACATGCTTTTGGGTAGGCAGTGGGTCTATTCTTGTTTTCCCTATAATGGGGTCCCGGAACCCACACGGGGAGGGGACTGTTTTAATTTTTGTCTGTGTTAAAATGCCTAATATGAATATGCAGAACACTTTACCAAAACTGATCTTGTTTTTTTCTGTCAACAGGTGCTAGATATAAATATGTGTAATGATATTTCATGTAATTCTTTGACTGGTCTCCTATTGTTGTTTGCCTTTTCAGAGCTGACACTGAACCCCCCAGAAGGAATCATTGCTGGACCTGTCAATGAAGAGAATTTCTTTGAGTGGGAGGCTTTAATTATGTGTGTATATATATTTTAATTCTGTGAAAAATTATTTAAACATGTTCGAGGTGTTTTTCTTAATGTGATTATTTTTTAGACATTTTGTCAGAAAAAAATACACTTTATTTAGCGACAGCGTACAAATGTGGCATAGTAAGAGCAACGGAAAGATAAATATGGCATAAGCAGGTCAAAATTCACTCGACCAAAACAAAACAAATGTAATAAATATTTTATCTAGTAATTTTTTAACTGATCTGACTCCAACTAAAAGTAATATAGAATTACACCTAACATTTAAACCTCAAAAACAACATCTAGACGTAAGCAAAAACATATAGATCCAGATGTAAAACATCTAGAATGGCAATCATGCTATTAACTTGTTTGCAGTCATTTTCTCTTTCATCTCTGTTCTCTTCCTGGTTCTTCCCCCCCCCACCCCCCCCACCAACTCTCTGTTGCAACATGGTCCATGCCATCTTGTTCCAATAAACCTGTCTCAATATCTGTACCATTTATGTCCCATGTGCACTCATCTTTGTGTTTTAGTGGAGGCAGACCTAACAGTTTATCTTCTACCCATCTATAGTTGATCAGAGGGTCTTCTCAGACTCTACCGGTTTGTATCTTCTGTGTGACCTAGTCGTCCGAACCTTTGAAAACTGAGCATTGAGAAAAATTGTTTACCTTTGTGTAATCACCATAGAGGATATTCTTATGGGGCTCCACCATCCTCCAAGTGTGTCTTAGCCTTCCAAGACTGACCAATGAGAACACTGTAATTCTTAAGTTGATGCAGGATACTTAACAGAGACTTGTTTGACCTCTTTCAGGGGCCCTCAGGACACGTGCTTCGAGGGCGGTGTTTTCCCAGCACACCTGACATTTCCGCCCGACTACCCTCTGAGTCCACCAAAGATGAAATTCACCTGCGAAATATTCCACCCTAACAGTAAGTATGTTAGATCTTTATACTTATGTTTTATGATAATTCTATCAACTGATGCATTATTTTAGTTTTATATCAGGGTTCCTCATGTGGGTTCCAGGGCCTCATTGGTGGGGGAGGGGAGGGGGGGGGGGGGGGGGGGGGCTCAGTACATATCCTAACAAGCATATCATAAAAGTTCTACTAATTTTAGGTGCTTTCTTCAAAATCGGAGTTCATCTGCCTGATTGGTGAGAAACCAACAGTCTGCATGCAAATAAGGCAGATATGTGCACACAAAACTGAGGTTCTGGCACAAGACTAAAGTCTACACTGGACGAACAGTCCGGACTTTCCACCGGAGTTGCAGCTGGTGAATGAAAAGAAGAAGATTTACTCAGTTTTGGGATAGTATTAGTAGCTCACATTTTGTATGATAGTTTTATTAGAGAATATTTTGTGATAGTTTTATAAACTTGTTTTTGTTTTGTGTTGTAGTTGTACTAAGTGAAACATATACATTTCCATTTCTGGTGTATTTATCTGGTTTGTCATTCTTTCACTGAGGATGATAGCCACAAATGTTGCTTTCTTCCTGTAGTCTATGCTGACGGCAGAGTATGTATTTCCATTCTGCACGCCCCAGGAGATGACCCTATGGGCTATGAGACCAGTGCTGAAAGGTGGAGCCCTGTACAGAGTGTGGAGAAAATCCTCCTCTCTGTGGTCAGTATGTTGGCAGGTCAGTATGTTAGCACCTCAGTATGTTGGCAGGTCAGTATGTTAACAGTTCAGTATGTTGGCACCTCAGTATGTTAGTAGTTCAGTATGTTGGCACCTCAGTATATTGGCACGTCAGTACGTTAGCACCTCAGTATGTTGGTACCTCAGTATGTTGGCGCCTCATTATTCTCTCTCTCTCTCTCTCTCTCTCTCTTTCTCTCTCTCTCTCTCTCTCTCTCTCTCTCTTGATCTCTCTCTCTCTCTCTTGATCTCTTTCAATCTCGATCTGCTATATTAATCCTTCTTAGTATTTCTATTGGGAGGGTATGTGTATGTATACATGTATGTATGTTTGAATGTATGCATTTGCCATCCATGCTTTTAGATTGTTTACCCCAAACTGATGGTGTATTTTTTTTACTCTACGCTCAGGCTATATATTTTGCTATATGAACATAACATGCTTGCTGATAAAAATACAATTGAGATGTGAAAGATAAGTGTCTAAAAACACCAAAAGTAAGACTGGCCTGCATGCACAATTTGAAACTCTGAAAAGTAAAGTTTCATTCCTTTGTTTTTGTCTTTGAAATGTCTGCCCACTGTTTTTATGTTCCATTATTTTTTTTTTTTTCCCCCTCTTTACTGTCTCCTACTTTTTCTGTCACTCTCCCTCCCTCTCCTCTCTCTTCTAATCCTTTCACCCTATCTGTCTGCTTGTATACCCCCTTTCAGCCTTAAGATTCTAGGAGCAAGGGTCACATATATTTAGTCTTGCCTGTATGTGACGGGCCTGTAACGTAAGCAACGAATAGTGACACTGGAACCTACCACACTTCTTGTAAGAGGTGACTAAAGACAGTCAATCAGAGACTGGTGGGTTACAGCGATTCTTCTATTTTCATTGTCCCTGCTAGTGGTTTTTAGATGGAAAAACCATAGTCCTTGGTTGAAGTTGTCGTGTGATGCATGTCTTCCTCTGATCCATGCAGTTTTGTTTCCAACAGAATGCTAACAGGCATAGGATCTCCCTACTGAAGCTAGACTGCATATCTGCAGCACATGTTCAGTAATATGAAGTTCATATTCATTTGGGTAGTGTTCTGAGTCCTGAGTCTTGAATGTCATCCACATATGGGTTCGGACGGAATTGGTTGTGTCCAGTTCACAGTTTGAATATGATAGTCCCATTCTTACATGTAAAGTAGTAATGCAAAACCTAGTTTTCTCGTGTGTGTGTGACAGCAACACATGAGCAAATAGTTACTGTCTTTTCCACAACTGTTGAAGTTTCTAATTTTTTTTTTTTTCAATTCTTCTCCCAGAACCAAATGATGAAAGTGCTGCCAATGTGGATGCTGCTAAAACATGGCGGGATGACAGAAAAGGGTTCGAGGAAATAGCAAAAGTCACAGTTAGAAAATCTCTGGGATTGTGACAGTGATGTGAAATTTGAACTTTTTGATCACATGATATTGAAAATCTGTTTCATAATTAAATATGAGTAGTAATGGGTGGCAGATTGGAGTGTTACAATCAAATTAGTTTGGCTTTATGTTTCCTTCAAATGGATTTGCAGCTGATAACACAAAGTTGGTGTGTGGTTAAGTTTTTTTATTTGATTTGTGTGTGTGAGTCATGTCCACAGATTTTATTTCTTCTGAATATATTTGATCTTTAACAATTAACCCCATGGTGTTTTTACATTTTTGTAAGGTATTGGTGTGTCTCACCTTGTCATTGTTGTCTTTCATATTTACATCAACTCATGTACTAACTTTTGCATGATTGTTACTCCTATTAGTCCAGCTTGGACTTTTAACCTTGTAGCCAACTTATTGTAGTAGAGTTTGATACAGGCAAATATATTTGTGTATCTATGGGTGAGTTACATTTAAAGCTTTGCATTTGTCTGCCCTTTAATAGCAGTGATACTTTGTCTGATATCTCACTGGACATCTTACAAGAGTAAATGGTGTACCTTTTACAGGACAGGGCAGTACCAACTCTAGTATTATTTTTTTTGGGGTACGTCTATGCTTTAACTAGGCACCTTTATGTTCAGTAGTTTGCCATTGCTTTCTGAACAGTCTGCGATCCACACAGTTGTCAAAATCAGTGTAAAATGCTCTCTACTGGACACACTGGGGCGATTAATACTTGACAGTATCTTAATTTCTCCAGTCTGAAAAGTTTACGTGGTATTTGTTCAAGGAGCATAAGAAACGCAATGATCAAGCATAGATTACTTTCCATCAGGCTAATATTATAGTGTTGTTACAACCTGACATATGTGTGGTGTGTGTTGTGACAACCTGACATATGCGTGGTGTGTGTTGTGACAGCCGGGCAGATGCACGGTGTGTGTTGTGACAACCTGACATATGTGTGGTGTGTGTTGTGACAACCTGACATATGTGTGGTGTGTGTTGTGACAGCCTGACATATGTGTGGTGTGTGTTGTGACAACCTGACATGTGTGGTGTGTGTGTTGTGACAACCTGACATGTGTGGTGTGTGTGTTGTGACAACCTGACATATGTGTGGTGTGTGTTGTGACAACCTGACATTTGTGTGGTGTGTGTTGTGACAGCCTGATATATGCGTGGTGTGTGTTGTGACAACCTGACATATGCGAGGTGTGTGTTGTGACAGCCGGGCAGATGTGTGTGTGTGCCACACATACTAATAATGCTGTACGCATTTCTGCCTACACTCATGCACTAGCCAATCCCACATGGTGAGTGGCAGAAACAGAGGAGGCAGGTCCATTAGGCACTCCGAAGCCTGCTGCTGGGGGTATCTGCTCAGTTATGTATTAAGTAATGTATGTGGTGTTTGAGTTTAGTCAAGTCGTTGCTGAGCAGAGCCTTTGAGTTTACAGTCTTAAGTATAAAGATTGTAGTGGCAGCAATCACTGCGGTGTTAGGTTTAGTAGCTGATATTCAAGTAACCAAAGCAGTCACTGTGTCTGAAACAGTAGACTCGCAGTGTGAGTGAGTGCCTGACATAGACTGAATGATTTATTTTGTTTAAATAGTACTTAATACTGTCCATGCATGGTGGAGCACTGAGCAAGCTGATCTGTTGCTTTCAGGATCATCAGTAAATAGGACAGTCGTGATGTAAAGTATTTTGAAGACTGAAAAACTGCTGGTTGAATACTAAAGCTGATGAGACGGTATAATACAGACCTGATAAGGAGAATTCACCAGGGAGACAAGAAATGGTTTTTCTTTTTTATCAGAAATTCCTGTTATCCAGATAAGCGTTAAAGCAAGAAAAACTGCTGGGAGGAAACAAATTTTTCTTCACAGCTGAAATTTCCTACATCCAAGATCGCTTGAGTGGTGTGCACTGTAATTGGAGATGATTGCAGGAAATGATACAAGCCTAGAAATTATCATCACCCTGGAGATTCAGTCTCCAGATTATGGGCCACACCAGAGAGATATTCCAAAGTCTTAGGTGGTTCGAGACCTGGCATTGACTCTGTGGTAGTCTGCATAGAGGTGTTTTGAGACCTGTGAACCATTTCCCTCTGGTGCAAAGTATTTTAAGATCAAAGGGTTCAAGGTGACAGCAGTGTGGTACAACATGGATCAACATATTTCTCTGCCACATCTGGTATAATTTTGATGTGAATTATTTTTAGCAAGATGTGGTGAACATGAAATTCTGTAGCCTGATCCTGGGTATAAATGTACAAAGATTCCAAAAACGTGCAGAAGAAATCAAAGAGTAAGAGCCTGAACCTCGATTAGAGGAAGTAAGAAAAGCAATAAAGAAAACTGACAAATCTCCGGAATGTGACGGCATACTAGTAGAGTTAGTTTAGGCTGGAGGAGAGGCCAGCATAATTCTATATCATGCACTATGTGTGAAAATCTGGAACAGTACTGACTGGCCCAAAGCGTGGAAAAGATCAGTATATATATTCCCCTCCCCCCCCCCCCCCCCCCCCAAAAAAAAAGAAATCTCAAATTGTGTAACAAATCGTACTATAGCTCTTATTAGTCATGCCAGCAAAATCCTTCTGCTTATCATTCTGATGAGGATTGAGAATAAATTAGAATATGAACTACAAGAAACACAAGCAGGCTTTAGACGTGGCAGGGGAACAAGAGACCATATTTTCATTATGAGAATCATCCTAGAGAAGTCTAGAGAATACAATCTTCATACTTGTTTCATAGACTACAGCAAGGCATTTGATTGTGTGCAGCACCATAAACTATGGCATCTGGTGCACTTAATGGAATCCCTTTACCACGAACAACAAGCAGCGGTCAGACTAGCTGGTGAAACATCCGAATGGTTTGAAGTGCAGAAAGCAGTGAGACAGGGCTGCATTCTTTCACCCTCCCTTTTTTACGTATATGCTGAAAATGTTATGAGAAACGCAATTAGCGATGAGGCATGCGAGAGCTTTGATCCACTAAAAATTGGAGGTAATCCTACCCAGAATTCAGATATGCAGACCACACAGTTCTCCTTTCCAATAGTGTACAAGGCTTAGAAAAAAAGCACACCAACCATGTATCACAATCGAAAATGAAGAAATAGAAACAACAGTGGCGACTGCTCAAAAGAAGTCAGAAGAAGACTTGCGTAAGCAAAGCAGAGATTAAATAGCATGCAGAACCTATAGCAAATAACTAACAATTTGGTTAAAGTAAAAAATTTTTACATCATGCATTTTTCCTGTGGCAACTTACGGGTGTGAGTCTTGGACTCTCACTCAGTCATTGAGGAAACAGATTGGAGCTTTTGAATTGAAATGTTATAGAAACATTCTTAGAATACCAGGGATCAGGAAGAGGAGAAACATCGACATACTGAACGAGTTGAACATCAAGGAGAACTGGTTCATAAACAGCATCCTGTCCCGACAGTGGAAGTATTTTGGCCGCATCAATCGTCATGGTGGCTTGGACAAGTCGGTGATAGAGGATGCAGCTTGTGAAAGGCGAGGCAGGTGTCGACCACCGCGAAGATGGATACAAGACATTAAGGATGCATTAGCATTGAAAGCACATGGGGCCAGAGATCTGGCTAGGAGAAGGGATACTTTCGGGCGTGCTGTGAAGAGAGCGACGTTCCGTAAAGGACTTGCTGATTAATGATGATCCTGGGTAGTGAATCACTTGTCCTCGATTGTTCGAAATCTTTTTCTTCTTCTTCTTCATGTTAACTAGCTGTAAACTCTGGCGGAAAGTTCTGGTTGTTCATCCACTTTTGTCCTGTTCCAGAATCTGAGTATGCACATGTGTATTACAGATCTGAATAATCTGTATGCAGACTATTGGTTCCTTGCCTCTCAGACAGATTGACTGTGAAGGAAGCTCCCAGTTAGTTGACTCTTATGACATCCTTTTGTGTAGACAGTGAGTGTTCTTGTTTTCACTAGAATAGGCCCCAAAACTATATTTTTTAGCCATCGTTTATTTTATTTTAATTCATTTATTTCGCATCACATTTTTTTAAACGTCGCTCGCGTCACCCCTGAGAGATCTACATACTCTCCATTCCTCGTTTGTGTATTTCACTTGTGTTTGAAAAAGACTGCCTAGCCGAAACGTTACGTTGTGTTGTTTTGTGCACGTTTTCCTCTTTCCCATTTTATTGAGCTTTTTAGTCAAATTTCTCTGGAATTCATTGTATTAGCTTGACTGTAGTCACCCCCATAGTTTCACCAGCAGATAACTGAAGGCTATGTGTTCGGGAAAACCCGTATATTTTTTGTGCAGGATTTTCCCATCGCAAATTGTTTCTTAGAAAACAATCAGATTTCGCACACAAAAGGTGATTCTGCGAAATGCACTTACAATATAATAATTATCGTTATCTGATACCATTATGTGTAACAGGCTGTCGGTCTTTGACCGTTCTATCTTGTGAGATTCTGTCGATATCATGAATACAATTCTGTCGAGCACATTTTGCCCTTTTTTAGCGACGCTCTTTTTATGATTTCTCCTTGGACATCCATGTTTCCTCAAGCCATTTGTTTCCAGTTTCAATGTCTGGTAGTCTTCCATCATCTAGAGTTCAACAGCGCCGCAGTGCTAATAATCATGCACCCCCCCCCCCCCCCACCCCCAACCCCAACAACCCTTACCAGGTACTAGAGTACCGGTCCAAGCCACTTCTTAGTCAGCATACTTGGTACAAAGAAACTATACCACAATTATAGCCGATACTGCTCGCAGTAGGTCGAACGTTTTGTTTTCATAAATGGGTGGATGGGTGCCGTGTCTGGCGATTGTCTGCTTGCTTCCTGTATCAGTGACAGTTTGAGAAGGACATTCAATTTTAAACAACTCCTACTGGGAGGAAATAGAAAAGGCAGGAGGTAAAAAACGATACAATTGGTAGGATACCATCAAGAGATGGGCGAACAGCAATCTGAAAGAGTATACTAGCAAGACAAGATAC